ACATCCGCAATCGGGAGCAGTCTCCCTCATCGCACGGTCCGGGAGCAAAGTAAAGGTCAGGTATTTGATACCCCTGAAAAACGAAAGAAAAGGCCAGGGTGACAAGCTACCTGAAGAATTTGGTTCTAAGCTCACTCTCGACAAGGTCGACCAAGTGGCCACCTACTGGCCCACCGAGTGAAGCATATCTACTCGAGGCCCCCAGGTTCCCCCTCAAGGCAGACGTCCATATCCTCACCAAGTCTTCCAAGGGGGGAACCCGCCAGCTGACGGGTACACAAGGTGAGAGTAGGTCCATACGCGGCATCGGGGTACCCCCTCCGACAGTTGGCATTCCGTCACAGTGAGTAGTTTGGAGTCTTATCATGCAGTTTAGAAAATATATAACTTCACCTCACAGCCGTCAACGGCGACACGCCTCGTGTCATCGTACCGCCCCAGCATGATCTTAGGTTGCGGATCATGCTTGAATGTCACGATGCACCAATAAGTGGGCATCGTGGCCGTGAGAAGACTTACCTCATCGTCAGTCGCTACTTTTACTGGCCACGCCAATGTAAGGTTGTGCACAAGTACGTGCGTGCTTGTGACGTGTGTCAACGTGTGAAGCCTAGTCCTTCACTGCGTGCACCATTACAGCCTCTACCTGTTCCGGCAGAGAACTGGGACTCCGTATCAATGGACTTCGTCTGTGAGTTTTTCAAAGTCTCTCACGGAAAAAATGGTATTCTTGTGTTTGTAGACATGTTCAGCAAGATGGTACATTTGTTGCTGTACCGAAATCGATCACAGTAGAGGGCTATGCTCATGTGTTCATCGATACAATTTTTCGATTGCGAGTGTTACCCCGTGAGCTTGTGTCTGATAGGGACCCCCGGTTCAAGGCTGAGGTTTTGCATTTTGTGTTCCAAACACTTAAAACACGGCTCACTATGTCTACTTCTGACCATCCAGAAACTGATGGTCAGACTGAACGCGCCAATCGCGTCCTCGAAGCGATACTTCAAGGGTTCTTACACTTGTTCACGAGTTAGAGTGAGTTGTTGTCGATTGTCTAGTTCGCCATCAACAACTCAGTGCATGCGTCCACGACGCATACAATGCACTGTAGCCAAAAGCAATGAGTCAGCAGAGGAATTCCTGCGGACTCGGGAAGCGGTAGTCCGTTTCGTGCACTACTCCATCACAGAAGCTGTAGACAATTCGGTGACCGGAAACCGTTGGTGCGATCCTTTAAGCGGTCGACTAAACATTCCACCACCGCGCACTAAAATTAGACGGTGTAACCGCTTCTCACATGCTTAAAGTTGTGTGCCAGAATATCACGTGGCAGCTTCTTTCGAAGTGCCCGTCTACAAATGCAAGGGAGGGTATGAATCTAGGATCGAACCGATCTCGTCTTCGGTAATCTCGTACTTGTGTACTTGAAAAACATCTTCTGATATCACCGGGATTGTTGCCATTTTCAAGTAGCGTCATAATACGGTGCCATTCCAACTATTGTTTCTTCCGAAGCACTTCAAATTATTCGTCGCCTTTTTATTCGCGATTGCCATCTTGTTAGCACATGCTGCTCAGCTGTCATCTTCGGCAGCTTTGAAAGTTTCGGCAGCCTTACGGGAATCTATAAATGGGACACCTTTCCTTGACACCTTCGTTCTAAATTTCTCATACAAGGTAATGTATAGAACTAGGAACAATACGATTTTGTCGTTGTTCGATCCGTATTGTCATTGAATTTTATGATATAACTGGGTTTAATGTTTTGTGAAAGTAGCACCGGGAACTGTTTCCGTTAGTAATCTTTCCTTGTATAGTAGATTCAGCCATTCGTCGACTTTTTTTAGTCGAGATACTCATCTGTGCTAGCACATGCTGCTCAGATATTGCAGCTTGAGCAGCCTCGTGGACAACTGTCCATGGGAGAAACTTCAGCACTGAGTCAAAGGTGAAAGTCAGACCCCGCTCTTGATGGGTGTCGCTGTCACTGTCAACACGCAAAGCTTGTATTTCGTCGTTCTTGTCGTCATCGATGAGCGAGTGTGAATTCAATAGCAAGTAATTTGTCGGCGTCGAGGATGCGTCTCTGTTAAGAAGAAGTTTGGTTACAAGTACCATTGACGGGATATCATTCGCACGCATGGATAATTCGTGGTCAGCGAAGAGCGTCAAACAATCACTTTGGGGCTTAAGAGAGAGTTTAAGAGTGAGTGAACGAAAGAGTGAACGAAAGACGTGGATAGAGCAAGTCAGTGGATAATGCCAGCTAACTTTTACGTTGTTCATGAGATTTGAATCCGGATCTTTTTAGAAAGAGGAAGTAATCAGTACATGAGACAGCGCTTCGCAGCCAAAATTCAAATCTAACATTCTTGTTTAACACAATCAGAGTCCGAACAGAACAACTATTTTACTTGGATAATTTAAAAAAACATATTATCCAGCTACATAGCATTCAATGCTCCAAGAACCAGAATGAGTCGATAAATATACATTATGAAAATCGTACAACACCACGACTGGACGCTCCGATTTGAATAAACCAGTGTCGACTCTTCACATCCTTCAATAGAGCGACAAGTGGGACTCTTATGTACAACAGAATGGTGTTTCCAGCACCAGATCTATGATCGTGTGCTCGCACTTCCCAATCAACAGCCAAAGTCGAAAACGGACAAAGACGAGACCCTCCTTGAAGCCTGTTAACTGTCCTCCTACCTTAAACGGGAAGCCCTCTTTCCAATCGTATGGCCAAGGTACAAGGGGGGGTTGCTGCGTGCACTACAGGAGGCAGCGCAACGCTCAACTCGAAAGTGAAGCGGTCCGCAGAATATCCTAGGTGAGAGGCGACGGAAGAGCTTTGGTGGATTTTTAAGCGCGTATCTATGTACCTCCAGCAAACAGTACAGCGTTTCTGTGGGGAATTACGCTTGCAGGTGGTCTCTAGAAAAAGGCAGAGGCGCCCGCTTACTAGGTTCGTAATGGGGAACCCTTAGTGTGTTGGGGCACCCTCCGACTATAGTCTATCTTCACTGATTACAGTGAAAGCAGGTGCCTCAAAAACCTCTCTTACACAAAGAGGCAGAGGAAACTTTACTTCTAAACAACACGCTTAGAAGTAAGAAAAAGAGAACTGTATTTAATGTAGTTAAACTATTGTAATAAACTATATCATTAATAACGTTGTCTTATATATATTAAAGTACATCTTCAACTTCAAGGAGATGCGAGGACAATATTATAGGAAAAGATAATATTGTCGAATATTATTAGTTATAATAATATTTTTATTGACACTTCATATGAGTGTCGATATTATGTAACGGGCTTACCCCGTTACACTTGAAACTGGTAGCCCTCAACGTTTTAAAAGGTCTTGACTAGGTCAGAATGCTCCTCCCAGTTCGTAGTGTCTACCAGTGACCGTACGCTCTTTAAATTGCGCTGCACCGTTTCTCGAACTGTGGCAGGCGCGGCAATTTGTACTCGTCAGTAAGATCAATGGGTGCCACATTGTTTTTAGTGGTCGAAGGGGACCATAAGCTTATAAGTCTATGAGACAAGCCAAGCGTTTGTATCTAGCCATTGCTTGAATTGTCCCTCTCGTAAGTCATTTACCAATTCTTCCAACATTCATGCTTGGTCGCCGCATCAGAACAAAGCCTTGTAGAGACAAAAATATTCTAATTGCTATCCTGGAGCGACGCAACGTACTTGAATAATGTTCATATAACAGGCTTCTATCGAGCTAAGTAGCTAGGAATGGCTTTGATGTCAACACTATGATATTCTGGGGAACACTATTCTTCAACAATTTCAGCTTGTGCTTTAAAAGATCGAATTCAGCCGACATAATCTTTGATCCCTCCAGCTCTCGCTCGCAGCGCTCGACTTCGTCGACCAACGTCGAAAGTTTAAGAACGACGACAAACGGACGTACTCGGCGTCGCTTGTACAATAATTTGTGGGAAAGACAAGATAGTGTCGCAAACATGTTCGTATCGTGGAAGCCGACTTTTAACTGGCTAGCAGGTCAAATTGTACGAGTGCCGCTGTTACAAGGATGCGACGCTCGGGTGTCACGTCAATCTTTACACGACGGAGTCCAGGTGCGACGACATAACATCATCACGAAAGTCGTTTTCGAACTTTTCACGAGCCCGTATGGGTTTGGTGAGGAGTTTGTATGAGTTCACAGTGTGGCTTGCTACGCTGGGCGAAGCGTCGACGTTAATCTGGTACGTATACGTGAAAAGAAAGAGATGGCTACGAACATCGTGACTAAATTGAAGAGGTTCTTCGACAAGCTTCCGGCTGATAAAAATCAAGATACACATGCAAGTGAACACAGAGCCTTTACAGGGCAAAAACGCCACAATAAGCGTCTCCAAGTACTCGGTCGCTGTCTACACTCAAGTAATGCCATTTGTAAGGCAAGGGGTAGTCTCAGTGATTGTAAGCTTGACGTCAGACCATCGAAACGTCGAAAGCCAGTTTCTGATGAACCCGGTGTCGGTGAGCCCTTTGCAAGATTATCTTGGGCTTTCCGACCCGAACGTCAACAAGCATTCTAAAAAGAGGCAATCTCGACTTCTTCCCAAGATGGTCAACCGATCTGCTCCACTTACTAGCGAGCACATTTTACCACGTGCAGAATGAAGCCCAATTAGATAAATATCATAGCTAGAAGAAGGAGTACAATAGTCATTTGCTTGTCGGCCGGCACTCACGAAAACGAAGAAATGTAAAACGCTTATTCTACCAGTCTCTGGAATTGAAGATAAAATATATTGCTGTACATATGCTTTTTGAGAAATGACAATGATCAATACTAAGTAATATGTTGAGACCGACCGTGTCTACGATGTCGTAATCTTCAACAAATAAGCGTAGACCATGGTTCATTCATATCTAACGAGTCGCCATTCAAGCTTAATGCCCTACATGAACCTTCTCCAATTGTCTTGAGATGCGAAACGTACATGTCATTATATAGCTTCTCAAAACTCAAGGCTCTCCATGGGAGCGGTGGCCGGCGCTGGCTTCTTCACGGGTGCCCGTCGTACCACCTCAATCTCACGAGGCGCCACTTCCACCTCACGAGGAGCCTCACGCACGTTTGTAGCCTCCATCCTGACGCGCTGTTGCTCCACTTCCACACGCCGCTCGCGCCACTCGGCATCTCGCGTCTGCTGTTGCTGCATAAGCGCAGCCTCGCGACGCCGCTGATGCTCAATCTGCTGCTTATGAATCATCTCGCGCTTCACGTCACCAACCAGCGACGAGCGTGGCGCAGTGGCAGATGCCTGAGAAGCAGAAAGACGCGCCGCGCCCTCCCCTTTCAGACCACCACCACCACTTCCACGAGGCAGCGACGAGCGTTCAGGCTCGTTGTCACTGTCGTCCGATCCACCGTCGTCACTGAAACGAGAGTTCATCGGTCGTGACACGCGCAAAGCGAGCTCCTGCGCGTCCTTTTCCTGCTCCAGCTGCAACTTGATTGCTTTCTGACGCTCGGCACGTTGATATGCGTGCTTTTCTCGTTTTTGGCGACGCTGCATCTCCAGTAGATCTTCACCTTGTTGAGGTTTAAGTGTCTCCTGCAACACCAACTCGTCTGTCAGTGTCTTGTTTCGGATCACCTCCTGCTCCTGTTCATGTTGTGAACGCGCATCCTCCTCTTCACGTGCCCGCTGTAATTCCAATGCTTGTTGCCTCTGCATCTCCTTCTGCTTCTGCAATTTGCGCTCCATTTGAGCCAGCTTTTCTAGCTTTTCCTGACGCTGCAACTCTTCGGCAGCAGCAAACGCAGCCTCTTCCATCTCTCTAGCTGCAGCGTCTTCCTGCTTTCTACCTACCGTCTTTTCCATTTCTCTAGCTGCAATCTCTTCCATCTGTTGCTGAGTTGCAAGTTGTCTGCGCATCTCATCATCCTGCTCAGCCTGTGTTTCCTCTAGCTGCTGCTCCTGTCGCAACTGCTCGAGTCTGTCCTCTTCTACTTCATCTTGACCACGTTGTTCCTCTAATTGAAGCTGCTTCAAATTCTCTACCTGTACTTGCAAAAAGTCTTGAGCATGTCCATTAGACGAATGAATATCTCCCCCAATACTATGACGTTGGTTCATTCCACGTCTCGGCACGGAAAAGTTCCGAAAGTCTCGAATACTAGGATTACTATTAACAGTATTACTTGTAGTAGAAGATGGAGCCGGCATTGATGCCCGTTGCATTGATGGTTGGCCAGAATTGATCCGAAAAGCCATGACGAGCTTATCGACCCAATCATTCATTTCCATTTCCGTTCCAGCGGCTACTAACAACCGACGTTCCGGTGCATTAATAGCGACCCGCCAAATAGTTGACGCACTGCTCCCGGTCTTCATACTATCCGCCGGCATTACTTCCAACACGCCTTCGTCACAACCTTGCAGACTTAATTCACCTTTGCATTCCCCATCTTCAAATGTGAAATATTGAAGACGTGAAGGCGTTAGAACAAAGTACCGAGGTTTCCAATTCTTACGACCAAATGGACCAGCACCAGACCCCTTTTTAAACAAGACGCCTGTACGGAGGATCTGACTTTCACTCATAAGGTTACTTAAGCTTTAATGAGGTATTTGACGACGACAAATTGAGTACAGAGAGGTGGAGGCTCGAGTAAGTACGAATTATGCGATACTCAATGCAAGATAAGTTTCGACACGAGATGGCAATACAAAATTTTGGCTACAGGCGATGGAGCTTTTATGCACAGAAAGCCCGTTATCTCGTCCTTTCGATACCTTTAATAATAAATATCCACCGAGTATAAACAAATCCACTGTATTTTACTTTTCTCAGAACTTTAGAGATTCGATTGTCAGGATGTTGTCGATTCAGTCGAATGATGTTGTATTTATTCATAAAATCTACTTGGATGTCCATCGAGATGACTCTTTCCCGGCCTATCCTATCGACCAGCTCGCTTTCCCCTTATCCCTCTCTCAACCAGTCGTTATCTCCATTCGGTCATTCGTTTCATCGCCTTGCACTTATTACAGGCCGGGGCGTGTTTAAAATTCATGTGACCACAGCCAGCCTTACTACACTCCCACTTGTCCGATGTTGAGATCGTCGTAGCCGATATTGGCGTGGGAAGACCACGAGAGTGCACGGTGCCCACCGGTTTTTTCGCTGCCTCCTGCTTCTGAAGCTGTTCAAAGAAACTCTTTGCATCAACTGGTGTCGTCTCCACCAAAAATTCCTCCAGCGTTCCCCCTTCTTCCACTTTAAAAGGAATTGCTGACACTATATCGTCAACAGCCTTTTTCTTCTGTTTCTCTTCCTTCTTGAGCTTTGTGTGGCGTTTTTTTGAGTGTTTTTTTTGTTTTTTATAAACGCTCTTCTCGCTGCTTGAGCTACGGCTGCGGGAGCGGCTTTTTCTCCTACTCTCATGTCGGCGATTAGGACTCTTACTACGTCCACTTAGTTGCCGGACATGGCTACGGCTTCCACTGGTTTGATTGCGTGATTCGCTGCTACTTCGGCTCGTTGCCATTGGAACGTTTTAATAGTCACAAGTTATACTTTACTTACTGTACTCTAGTATTAATTTGGGTTAATTTCTATTATATTCGGTGTTTTTATGATATACAGTATGTAAGACGTCAAAGTACTGTACAGTATTCAAGCACAATATATTGGTTGATCAGGTAGTGTCAATTATCTATTGATTCAATCGTAAGTTAAGTTTATCGCTTACAGCCACTTCCACTCCGGGCTCTCACGTGTAATACCGTCCACAAAATCGTCAAACGGCACGCCCGCAACCTTACACAACTTGCTAAGTTTACGAATCTGCTGCTTGCTCAATGGACGCAATGTTTTCGGGTTCGTGAGCTTGGTACGCTTCATGTCCGCATTGTGGTTGCTACCCGCCTTCTTTTCATCTTCCGGTTCCTCATCAATCACCTTACGGCCTCCACCAGCACGATACTCTTTCTCCTGGGCCTCACCGATAATCGTGAGATGACCAGCTTCCACCAACCACTTTTCGGTGCACAACGAGTTGTAGAACTCTTCACTGTGAGAAATCATAATGACACCGCCAGCGTACTGACGAATGCCGTCCGCCAATGCACCCAGCGCGGCACGGTCCAAATAATTCGTCGGTTCATCCAGTACCAACAAATGCGGACGATTCCACATAGCAGCGGCAATCACAAGTTTCACCTTTTGACCGCCCGACAGGCCACGGATCTTACCGTGGGTACCAAACTCGGCTGGCAGGGCAAAGTCGTCCAGGTGACGCTGAATCTCTTTTGTCGTAAGGGGACGAAGATCGAGACCACCAGCCAGCGTTGCTTGACGGATGTCTTCCGCTTCAGCAAGAGCACCCAGTCCCATTTCTTGGAGCTGCTCCAAAGTATAGCGCTTGTTGTGACGCTCCATCAAGCCCACGAGCTTACACTCGTACTCAAGCGTACCGCGTTTGCCCTTAGTACGCGACACAATCTTCTCCACCTGACCCTGCTTCTTGCCAACAAGATTCTTCTCCTCCTCCGTCTGCTTTAGGTTGACGTGGTCACCAAGCTCGCGATCGATACCATTCTCGCCACCAAAACGCCACTGGAAGTACTGCACCGGACTGCTTTCAAGATGCTTCTCAACGTGATGGAACGAATGCTGGGCCACATACGCCACACGAACAGCATGGTGCTTCCAGAAAGTGCCCGTGTCAGGAGACGTCTCTTGCACAAGCATCTTGATCAAGGTCGACTTACCAGCACCGTTGACACCAATCACAGCAACACGCGACGCCAGACACAGCTTTACAGAAACATTCTCAAGCTGAGGCTTGACGCCACCCGGGTACGTAAACGTAGCATTGTCGAGGGTCAAAATTCGACGCGTCATGGAGTTGATGCCCTCCAAACGACCAGGCTCCGGCAGGTTAAATACCATGTCAGACGACTTCAATTCATAGTAGTGCTTCGCTTCTGGGTGGATGTCCACGAATTCGGACAAGGTCATCGAGTATAGCACCAGCTTCTTAGACTCGTAGTGGAAAATGTCAGTACACACCTTGTCCAGGAAACCAGTGTCGTGAGATACTAGCAGCACCGTCATCGTGTCGAGGGAATTCAGGTAGTCCACCAACCACTGCACGGCGTGCACATCCAAGTGATTCGTTGGCTCATCCAGCAGCAGCACGTCTGCATTGTAGAGCATGGCACGAGCCAAGGCAAGCTTCATGCGCCAACCTCCAGAAAGCGCGTCAATTTCGCCGTCCAGCATCTTCTGAGTAAAGCCAATGTCAGTCAAAATCTTTTCGACTGCATCAGGAGTCTGATGAGAAAGTTCCGGAGCCTTGCACATAGACTCAAGCAAACTTCCCTGGCTTTCCACAATGTCCTCATGCTGCACGTACACAGAGCGCAAAGTATCCGGCAGACCTTCAATGGCACCCGTCGCCAAGTTACGCATCAACGTGGTCTTGCCGACACCGTTCTTACCAATTAGACCATAGCGGTGGCCGCGAGTCAGACGGAGGCGTGCATTACGAAGCAAAATCTTGCCACCGTATGCTAGCGAGAAGTCAAGGTCGCACACATCGTTAGGGTCCGTCGACTTCTCACGCTCCTCGCCCAGGCCGCCACCAGCAGCGCGCAGGGCGTCGCAAAGATGCTCGGCATCTGCGTCGTGCATGTGCGGCATCAAGTAGGCCATCACGATGGTGCGCCACTCCGATCCACGGTTGTGGGTAGCTAGCTCCGTGCACACATCAGTAACGTACTCCAGCGTAAAATCAGTCAGGCCAGGGTGCGTTGGGCGGTCAAGGGTGTCGCTGAACGCAGTCAAAATTTCAGATTCCAACTTCCTGCGAATTTCAATGGGGTCCTCCTCCATGACCTCGCCGTCCCCCGCGGCGTGCACAAGATGAGCACGAGCTTCCTTAGCAGATTCAACAACCTCCTCGTCAATCAAACGTTCGATGGCAGTATCTAGCTGCGGAAGCAGCAGTGGAACAAACTGCATGACATCGGACGGACGGACGACTAGGCGACACATGCTGTCGATAATCTTAGCTGCCTTTCGCTTGAGCGATGAGCTGTTGATGCTCGTGTCACGTAAAGCCTTGTGCAACAGCGGCGCAATCAGCGATAGCGTCGGCGCATCCACGTTCGATACAAAAGTAGTCGCCAGAAGGCTGTCAATAGCCTTCATGGTCTCTTCAGGGCGAGCAATAACACCCACAAGAGTAGGCACAAGCGGCACAACGTCGTCGTTACTGATCTTGGAACACACGGCAATCAACGAGTCGATCGACGCAGTCTGAACCTGCTTCTTTGTGTCCCAGACGTACTCAGAAACGATCGGAATAATCTCTGGCAGCCAGCCAGATACCTCCTCACTTGCAGTCTCACTGAGCACCTTGAGAAGGTTCAGTGCAGCAACCTTGCTCTGCCATTGGCGTAGCTCCAGTGCCTTGTATATCTGCTTCAGGACCGAGTGGATAGCCAAAGGATTCACCTTTTGTGCAATTGTCTTCGACAGCGTCGCTGCAGCGTTCTTCACGACATGTTCCGAATCTGCGTGGCGTTGCATCAGAGTCGTCAGCTGCTCAACAACCACAGGCTCCATCACAGATGAGAGTTCTTCGCTCTTACACAGAGCAATAAAGGCCAGCAGAGCTCCTTCACGTGCAGTAGTCGGCTTGGCAATGAGGAACTTCTTGAGCTCATCAAGCACATGAATAGCTGCAGTACTAGCCAGACCAACGATCTCTAGAGCCGCCACAATGTCAATGGCAGCAGCGTTGCGTTCATTTTTGGAGCTAAAGGCGGCAACAAGACGGGACAAAATAGCATCGAGCTGCGTCTTGACAGCGTCCACGTCTACAAGAGCCTTAAACGCTTCAATCTGCTCGTCAGACGCCAGTTCACGAAACTCATCGTAGTCGTCAGACGAAGACGCTGACGTCTCAGAAGGAGGGGGTGACGGCTTTGTGCTTGCAGGTGGCACAGTCACATTAGGGGTAGAGGCCTTAGGCGTTACAAACTCGAGCGTCTCTTGCTTTAGCACAGACGGTTTGCTTTGCGCCATGGCAGACGCCAGTACGGCATCAGCTGCAGCCTTGCGAACGCGTTGTCCCTTGCCCATTTTTTTCGATCGGTTAGTCGTATGTCGGTGGATCTGGTGGTCACGAGGGCGCCAATGCGGGAATGAGACAGAGACTTCGAGACAAGTCACTGCAGCCAGCCAAAGTTGGCTGAATCTGAAGTTTTGTAACGGTCCAAGCAGAATTGCGACAGAAAATGTACCCAGTAAAATATTCTTTCGACACAATAGGAGTAGAAATTGCTTACGTTTTGTAAAGAATTGAATACATTCTGTCAGAAGCGGTTTTTTTTCTTGCAAAGCGTCGTTAGCCAATCATCGGGTGGTCGCACATTGTGATGACGTGCGAGTTGAACATGTCGCGCAAAGCTAGTGTTCCAATAAATTACATTGTAATTTATCTGTATAATATTGAGTCAGATACGAAACGTGACGGTATGATAGAAAAAGAGACCAACACGATTTTATCGATGCCGATAAGCAAAACAAGCTGGAAGTCGTGCATTCGAATTGATGAAGTTAAGTGTATTGTGATTTACGAATGAAATAGAAGTTAAATCTTAACCACGTGACGTTGCGAATGCCGACTTCGTTAAACTTTAGTGATGTGATCCGACACGTCTGTACAACTTGTTTACTGAAACCGTTCTTTACAGTGGGTGCACGTCAGAGAATACCAAGCACGACCGTAAGAGTCTATCGAAGAAGCCATATCCTTTTGGATCCAATTAGCCTTCATTTACCATAGACATGCGACCAACTTTAACAGCAACATTATACAGTACGTGTCCGATGTAAAGTTGTTTCCGACAGCTCAGTAATATATTGTCGTGGATTGTGGTGCCATAAAAAGAGAGGAAAGAGAAGCTTTAACAAAGGACATCGAAGCAGTACGGAGTGTCGCGAACTGTTTCGTTCTAAGGCAAATAACACTTTTTTCCGCCATGCGTTATGTTGGTACAAGATCTGTATCGATTCTGATACAAGCGCAAAAAATGGGTGGACATCCTCCATGCTTTAACCTTTGACTACGGGTAAAGCTTTAATGATCATCGCCGCTTCCATATAGAAAATTTACTTGTTTTTACATTAAATCCTCCAGATTAATTCACATGAAATCGACATGCCTATTCGCATGATCGTTGGGTGATCGTTGGGTGAGGTACTGCTGCTGGCCACACTTGTCTAGAGCCCGACTACGTCGCTAGCTCAATTCTGCTAAGATTTCTGCACAATACACGTATCCGGGCATCGTAGCAGAAAAGTAGCACATCGGCTATCGCCAACTCGGTAGAAACACACGATCGCTTATCTGCACACTCGCAGTATCAGACATGCCGCATGCATTACTGAATGAAAGCAGAAATTATAATGCAAGACAAACACGTACCGCTAAGATTTTTCTCAAAGCATTGTCAAGAGCATCAAGGAAGTCTAATGCTCCGTCGTCAGCCCCCAACGGGTTAACAGAGTTCAGATGGGTGTGACACCCATCAAGGTTGAGTTGGTAGACTCGAATATTATGGATCTGATCCACAGGCCTGGTGACACCTCCTGAAGCAGTCAAAGCTTCGCTGGACAAGGATATTCCAGGGTTTCCAATTGCAATGCTCCAGAGCACGCGCATAAATACGGCCAAGGCCGTGCTATCTTGTATTGAGGCAGGCATTCACATACATGCGCTAACCGTGACTCTGCCGAAAAAGCCGAAGGCACTAGTGTAGAACTTTTCTTCGATTGCGGAAGTGGTGCCTGAGCGTCATCGTGCAAATCTTAGAGCCTTGTTGCTGTTACCATTAGCCCAAAGGCTCCTGCACTTGTAAAGTTATGTGCTTTTTTACAAACAAACAATTTCGAGAACTACACTATAACATCTTCGATCGGAAACTCAAAAATAGTGAGCACGACCGCCATCACTTTCAAATCTTAATTTACTTAATACCCATTCCAATATATTTGCATCTGTGTGAATTGACAAAGGCTCTTAGTTAAGGAGGCAACCTAAATGGAGAAGCTGAATGATAACTATCTCGTGGCTAAAAGAAATTGTGCGTTAAAATATCAAAGGCTTCATAACAATTAACTTCTTGCTTAAATGACTACGATAGATACTATGGCACAAAGTTTGAGCCAAAGTACTTGTCGCTCAAACTCCATCGGTTGACGAGTTGTGTCACAAACCATCAAGCGATGGCGTTCTAGCGCGAGCACAAAAAGCTTCAGTTGCACTTGATTTTTTCTCCTATTGTTACTCGTAGGCTGAATGCTGCACCTCCTTGGATTCACAACGTACAACGGCGACTAGCGACAGCGACTCAGCTCGCAACCAGCGTCAAGAAGAAAATATTGATTCTCAGCGTAATCATGCTGCTAGCCATGTTGTTCCTGCGGCAGTATTCGAGATGCCACCATAAGCAGAGCAACAGCTAAGGAACCTTTCGAAGCAATTCCTGTGACATCACTCTACCAGCATCGCCATAAGGTCAATCCAGCGTTTTTTGTGCACGCCCGAGCACGTGATGGAACAGCAAAGGTTCAATCAACTGGTAAAAGCAAAGGTCCGATCAAGTGCTAAAGAGTGTATCTAGGGGTCCTGCGGTGCTCGGAGAGCTGCTATCCTGATTCTTGGCGTGGAAAGCCCATGCCTGATAGGGCAAAAAATAGAGGTCTTTGCGTTAAGTGAGCCAGAGTATGGCGTGTTTCCCTCGTTGCGTCTTCCACGCAATCAGTCTGAAGGCTATGCACACTACTGGACCATGAGGGTAGGCAGGCAGCAGCAGTACACAATGGAGCATAAAGCGAAAAAGCCCGACATTGGAGGCGATCAACTGGACGACAACGAAATCATATGTGACGGGCTCTCTCGACCACTCCGTCTCTCATTCCGGGCAATGGCAGCAGAAGAGGGAGCATTCTGGCCCGCGTACTCTTGGGCTAAAAAACATATGGACTGTGTTACAGCAGGGGGACATTTTAATGCCACAGAAATATGACAAGAATCAGCCCTGCACTGCAACTGCGGCATCGGATTGGGATCGAAATTTCTCCTTTGTCATTCCGACGGTAGACGCACCCACGCATCAACAAGCCAAGCTGCGACGATGGGGCCTAGCACTTTTGCTGAGCGCATTGAACGTAGCTGTAGGTGGAGAATTTCAAGTACGAAAGGACCTACTCCTGCGCCACCCCAGCCTACACATTGGTTATCTTAATGAAAGGCTGCGTCAGCGGCAACATGGTGAACTGAGACCTATCAGCGAAGCGTCATCGCCTTAGAGCAAGTCAGTAACTAATAATTAGAAAATTGCCGCGAACAACATTGGAGATCAGCGGACGGTTGTTGCGTGCAAACGGCTCCGACATGGCCAGAGAGCATTGTACTCTATGCGCATTCGTTCATCCACGGGTTTTTGTGGAGCGTACCCGACACAATCGAGAGCAAACACGTACTTTTGGCTTTATAGAAACAATCGTTTCGTCCGGAAAGTCGATGACGCGAACGCTAGTGACGCTGCAGGACTTAGCGGGATAGTGCGTGGGAGACATACGCTTACAGCAGACGATAACCAACCAATTTCTAGGGCTCATAGAACCGAGCTTACTGCGTATCAAGTTTGGATCATTTATAGAGTGGATAACTGAATCGCTTCCATCCAGACCGAGGGCAAGATAATGATCGCCGCAAGCCTGCTGGCAGAAGCTTTTCTGCCACTGAACACGAGGATGTTGGGAGCTAGGACGGCTTTAAAGCCTTCTTGCAAACAGTGCAGGCTTAGGATCTACCAAACATTCTGCAACCACTAAAGGTTAGAAGGACTTTTCTGCCCTTTCTATTAAATACTGCTGCGAAAACAGCATGGCTGTCGTGCGAGCGCACGATCGTAAATTTGGTGCTGGAAACACCATTGTGTTGTACATAAGAGTCCCACTATCGCTATATTGAAGGATGTGAAGAGTCGACACTGGTTTTATTCAAATCGGAGCGTGTTGTACGAATCTCATAATTTATAATTATCGACTCATTCTGGTTCTTGGAGCATTGAATGCTATGTAGCTGGATAATATGTTTTTCTAAATTATCCAAGTAAAATAGTTGTTCCGTTCGGACTCTGATTGTGTTAAACAAGAATGTTAGATTTGAATTTTGGCTGTTAGCTGTGAAGCGCTGTCTCATGTACTGATTACTTCCTCTTTCTAAAAAGATCCGGATTCCAATCTCATGAACAACGTAAAAAGCTAGCTGGCATTATCCACTGACTTGCTCTATCCACGTCTTTCGTTCACTCTTTCGTTTACTCATTCTTAAACTTTCTCTTAAGCCCCAAAGTGATTGTTTGACGCTCTTCGCTGACCACGAATTATCCATGCGTGCGAACGATATCCTGTCAATGGTACTCGTAACCAAACTTCTTCTTAACAGAGACGCATCCTCGACGCCGACAAACTACTTGCTCTCGAATCCGCACTCGCTCATCGATGACGACAAGAACGACGAAATACAAGCTTTGCGTGTTGGCGATGAAAGCGATATCCAAGAAGAGAGAGGTCAGACTTTGACCTTTGACTCAGTGCTGAAGCATATTCCATGGACAAATGCCCACGAGGCTGCCAGAGCTGCCGAAGCTGCCAGAGTTGCCGAAGCTGCCAGAGTTGCCGAAGCTGCCAGAGTTGCCGAAGCTGCCAGAGTTGCCAGAGATGCCGAAGCTGCCAGAGTTGCCGCAGCTGCCAGAGATGCCGAAGCTGCCAGAGTTTCCGAAGCTGCCAGAGTCGCCGAAGGTGCCAGAGTCGCCGAAGCTGCTGAAATTGCCGAAGCTGTCAGAGTCGCCAAAGCTACCAAAGATGCTGATCCCCTTCATTTTGCGCTTGCACCCGAGCCTGACTAGCCGCCCGTAAATTCTCGTTGACTCGGTCTCTTGCTCGCTGATAGTGACTCTAAATCCGATATCTCCATCTCCGAGGTCCTGATTCTCGACGTCGAGTGTTCATCATTGGTAACATAGTCTCAAGAGTGGTCCTAGCATCCCATCCATGTACCAGATAGAACGGTGTTTCCTCCCGTACTCTGTCTTGAGCCGTGTTTAACGCGAACGTTAATCGTTCCGCGTATTCATCCCAGTCTCGCTGTCCCACGTCGGCTACGTACATCTTGAGCGATCTTGTTAGAGTCTGGACCATTCTCTCCGCAGTGCCGTTTGCTTGAGGTCGGTAGGCCATGGTCGCTCTCTGACGCTGCCCACCATGCGACTGAACGCTCGGAAGAAGTCCGACATAAACCCCGGTTCCCGATCGTGACGGATCGTCTCACTGGAACCAAAACGGCGGAAAACGCATTCTTCATACCCCTCAGCTACTGTCTGGGCTGTCCGTGACGCACTTGCTTTAGCCATCACATAACCTGTGAACAGGTCGACCCAGATCAGCAATTCCGTATTTCCTTTATGTGACTTGGGGAGAGATGGTATGTGGTCCATCGCGATAATTTGGAAGGGGTACGTCGCTTCAACATTCCCCGGAGACTTCCCTTGTAAAGTGGGCCTCCCTTTCCCAGTCTCACAATCCATGCACTGACCCACATATTTCTGAACACTCCGGAACAGACCCCTCCAAAGATCCAATGATAATTACGCCCGATCCCCTGATGGCCGCCTTCCAAACTCGTATGATAATGATGGAGGACGTCGGCTTCGAGACTCTCAGGTATCACCAATCTGGCAGTTATGTCTCGGTCGTCTCCCTTGATTCTCTGGCCGGGGCAGTACACCAGCAGTCCTTCTTCACTTATCTCGTAATCCTCCGACATTCTGCTGCAGTTTCTGGCCGCTTCCACTGACAAGTCTTTCCAGTCTCCCTTTAAATATGCCTTCAACTCGCGTACCCAGCTCTCCTCTTCTTGCGCATCTCGGATTCTATCCATCCGGAGTTGTTGTACCACATCTTCTTGCATGACCTCTCCCGATATTTTGACAGGGAACCGGGATCTCGTCACTGCAGATACCTTGACCGACTGACCTCGGTCTCTAGGGACCAACACCTCTGGCAGCCGATTGATTGTTTCTAGACCTGACCAATCTCCTCTTGGTATCGACTCGACCCCTTGCTGCTGATGTAAATCTGCACTGGCCAACTGGTCTGCGCTCTGATTCCAGTCTCGTTTCACATGTAGGACTGCATGGGTGGGCCACGACTGGAGTTTACTCAACGCCTTGGCCCGCAACGGGGATAAACCTGAAGCTTTGCATTCAATCTCTCCACGCATCTGTCTTATAACCAGATTGGAGTCTCCACAAATAATCAAACGCCGTCGCTCCATTGGCTCCAACAGGTCAAAACCCAGTAACATGCCCTCATATTCAGCTTCATTCACCGTAGACTTGTCGAGATATTTCGATGCAGCTGCGACTATAGTCCATGCAGGAAGTCTCCACACAATAGCGCTGCAAGCACCTCCCCCTTGTTTCACCCGGGCCGACCCATCGAAACTCATTACATACAGTTCTTCGTTTAATTCCACTGTGGGCGTCGGTAGGTCGACCACTTGCCTGGATTGCTTCTTGGGAGCAATTGACGACAGAATGGATTCCACATTCTCTCGAGGCGTGATGCTGGCTGCTAACTCCCCCAGTACCTGGTCCTCGCCTTTCTTGCTTTTCACAATCTTCAAAGTCCACTGTGACAACAGAGCGGCCCGATTTCTCAAGCGACATTGCAACCCCAAAGACTTCACTAGCCAGGCTAGTGTAGAATGCCTCGTCAGAACCTTGAGGGGTCGGGTGACCAACATCGTGAAGCAAGTCTCCAATATTCGTAACAACGCCAACAATTCCTTTTCCACTGTACTATAGTTCACCTCGTTTGACTTGAGGGTTCGGCTCGTAAACATTACCGGCATATACAGGCCGTCGTAATTCTACACCAACGACGCCGAGATAGCCCAATCACTTGCGTAGACAATGATGACCGCCCCTCTAGCCGGGTCGAAATGTCGTGGGATGGGCGCCGTAGCAATCTTGTTCTTGAGCATGGCAAACGCTACTTGTACCTTCGACCATTTTTCTTCGTCGTCTTCCTGGGCCGCCACTTCCTCGTTAGCCTTCAATTTGCACCTCCAAGCGTGAAAATCCACCTCTCTCAGTTCGTAAAGGATCGACGCGTATATGGCATAATCTTCGATGTACCTGCTGTAGTAATTTAGGCTTCCTAGAGAGGACTGCATAGCCTTCAGCGTTTTCGGTAGAGGTAGGTCGACCAAAGACTGAAGATCTTTTGGGTGGGCCTCTAGTCCCCCTTTGGAAACTCGGTGTTCAAGATAATCGACCTTCCGACATCCCCGCGTACTCTTGACGGCACTGACCGACAAATTCCAATAGTTACACACGTCTAGCAGCCTCTCCACTTTCTGGCATAATACGTCCCACGATTCGGCCGGAACAAGTATATCGTCAATGTATGATCGTCGACCCAATACAGAGAGGCCCGATTTTGCAACGGGTTCCCCTGTTGCGAACAAATCCTCTGTTTCCTCTGTGACCGCCCCTGGCGAAATCCGTAAGAATCCATATAACGCATTATCCAACAACCTTTGATATATCTGAGGCGCATTCTTAAGCCCAAAAGGCATCCGAAGCCATTCAAATAATCCCAGTGGAGTAACGAAAGCTGAGATTAGTCTCGCCCTTTCGATCATACTGACGACCCAAAAACCACTCGCCATGTCAAGAGAACAGTATTACAAAGCTCCGTCCAAGTCCTCCAATAGTTCGTTAATCAACGGCATCGGGTATACCATGAGCTGGGTGAGATCATTCACCAACCGATAGTCGATACACAATCGAATATCGACCCCATTCTTCTTCACGATAATTACAATTGGGCTGGCCCATGGCGAGGTGGAAGGCTGAATGATCTTTGCTGATAACAGTCCCTTGATCAGGTCGGCTAGCTTCTCTCTGAATTGAGGGGCCACCTTCCGTACGCGTTGCGCGATCGGTCCTGCGTTCCCTACATCGATATCGCATATCGCTCCTCGGGCGGCCGGGGGTAAGGCGTTACCTTTGCCCATCAGCAGATGTCGTTTCTTCCATATTATTTGTCGCAACCGGTCCACCTCTTCGGGAGTGTTCCCATCTGGATCAGGAATCTGTATATCTTCTAACGCAATGCCTTCGGATGAGGGGTCCACTTCCGGTACGACCGCCCACCCTGGCCTTATGTCTTCGGCCCAAAATTCCCCACTCTCGAAAGAACACACCTGGTCATCTGCCTGTAACAAGTCTACCAGTTTGGCTTCCTTCTCATTGGTGGTTGTCACTGCATGTAGGTCTTCTTCAAATACACTCCGTTTTTGGGCGGTCCCCTCCTGCCAATTCACCCTCTCTTCGCACGGTTGTTCTTCTCTGTCGGGTACCGGTTGGTGCGTTATATACATCATTGGGGTCGGGGCCGCTGGTCGCTGTAAGATGTGTGACGGAGTCTTATACTCTGGTCTCTCCACTAGTGACCCCTCTTCCTCTTCCGTTGGGTCGACCTGATGGTCGACTTGGTCGGTGGTAGATTCATAAGCCAGATTTAGCCATTCTGCATATCTTCGAGAGCCTACCGAGACAAACCCTAGCGTTCTTGGAACTTGCTCCCTAGTCAACCACATACCTACCTTGGTATCTTCATGCAATGTTAAGGGGCGAGGGCTGACATTGGTTATCTTCAAAATCGGTCGACGTCCTATCCCTTGTATCATGGTGGTCACCCATCGTTCGCCTCTCGTGACCCACAATTTCCACTGTTCTGAGGTCGACCTTTTGAGAGGCACTTCCGTACACCCTCCAACGGATATCTGTACATACCGACCCAATTTCACATCCGATACTCGAGTATTGTACAGTGTCCTTCGCCCGGTCGATTGTACCCTGACCTCATCGGGGAGGCAAAGAGTTTCGTCGGCCAAGTCTAACCGGATACCGGCTGGAACCATGAAGTCCATCCCCAAAATTGCATCCTGGCCTACCATAGGGCCTACCCACACCTTAATGATGTACACCAAGTTCTCATTCAGAGTGACCTTGATGCGAGTGCGTCCCTCCGTGGTGTATACGGCTTCCCCAATACCAATACATTCTTGTCGTTCACTTTCATCAATTTGGCAGCCTACCTTACGAGCAAAGGCGATATCCAGGATGGATATCTCGGCACCAGTATCGAATAAAAAATCTGCATGGTCGTTGTTGACCTTTCCAGAGGCTTTCGCTTGCCTGAACCATTTAGTGGGGGCGTGGTATTTCCAGTACCCTCTAGACTCGCCTGGCAATAAGTCCAACTCCATTACTGAACTTTCTCGAACAAAACTATTAGGCTCATTCAAAGAAGCAAAATGGACCACAGGGTACTTTCCAATCTTCGATATATTTCCAATCTTAACTGGAATACCCGTCTCCTCCTTGGGCTGTTTCTCCACATATGCAAAGATACGACAATTAGAACGCTCGGCTCGTACCAGATTCCAACCTGGCGAGCGTCCTAATTTGCCATCTTCTCGAGTTTCTCCGGGAACATCCCTGCATGCTTGGCTGGGTTGTACCATTGACGGAACAAATTATAGAACTCCTCCATCTGGCACTTCCCAATCTCGTGAATATCTCCACAACCCCGGCATACAAACAGGCAGAGATCAGACGGGTGACCCTTCCTTCCACAGCGGTCGCAGGTCAATCTTTTCCAACAATTCAGGTCTTCATGTTTCTTGGACCCGCAATAAGCACATCTCGTATTTGGGGTCGCTGATGACGGGCCGGGTCGCTGGTCTACTACCTGGCGGTGTTGGTCGGCCTCCCTAGTCGGTAGATTCTTTGAGAACCTCACACTTGGTTCCCTCCCCACTTCTTTCTCCATA